CCCCCCCCCCCCCCCCCCCCCTCCTCTCTCTCTCACAGCTTTGTTGTGCTTATGCATTAACTAATGTACTTGGTTTCTAATGATCAGGGACTCCTTACAGAGGCAACAATAATGGAGGTGTTGAATTTGATCCGATCAAATTACATAATGACTACTGTCCTTGGGTGAATGGGGTTGTTGCTGCTGCTGGTGGTAATAATCCCTGCTCCAGTTCTGGTGTGGGTAGCGTAGCTCTTTGTGGCTGGCAGCTGACTTTAGATGCCCTGGATTCTTTCCAATCTCTTGGACATCTTCCTTTGCAAACTCTTGAATCTGAATCGGCAGCATCCATGTGCAAGGTTTGTTCTGGTTGTTTCACTATAATATTATCCTTTATTTCATGGACAACATCGTATTTAGATGTTGATATTTTAATGTGTTCCCCATTTTTCAAAATCCAAAGTCCTTGAATTTATGATAAATAGTTCTAAAAGATATAGATTCATTCTATCACAGGTAGGAAATTTTGGCCAATCATAGACGAGATGTACCCTATGTTTGGATGAAGAAAAAAAAAACATTTTTGAAGTTGAAAATTTATATTGTTTGGTAGAGGTGAAACAAAATTTTCTCTAATTAAAATTTCAAAATTTTCTCTCATCACCCATTTTGTTTCCTATCATCCAAACGGAGTTGGTACCGTACAACAGAACATGTAAACAACGATGCAGAAGATAGAAAATATAGTAGTTATCAAATATTTTGACTTGTTTAATGTAATAGGATTCTTATATCATCAAAAATTAAAATCCTTGTCTATGAAGCCCAAATATTCTAAAAATGGCAAAGTATATATTTCCTATATATCCTTAAAGTTCTAGCAAATAGTAGGCCGTTAAATAGAGCCAATATTCCTTTTAAACAGGACTAAGATGTTTTTTGTGACAATCTGACATGGATTGGGAAAAATATATAATTTTTGTGACATGTTAATTGTGCATGGAAATATTCCAATATGGGAAAAGAATATATTTTGATATCAAAGGAAAACGCAACAACAGTTTTTTCTTATGATCACAAGTGTTGCCTTTTGTAAGTTGTGATCATCATCCAGTGATATAGTTATGTATTTATTAGAAATCATCGATGCCTCTTTACAAATGTGGTGCATTAATGTAAAGTTTGTTTCTTGCAGGGTGATCGGTTCACTTCCAGCCAGAAATTATTAGCACGCAACTCCTATGTAAGAAAACATGGAAGAAACTGAGACCTGCAGGAAGTTGTCAAAAGTTTTGTTGAGCTGTTTCTCTGTGAACGAGTATTACACCTACATCCTAATTCAAGCTATGTTTTTAATCGGATGTTAGTCCATTCTTGTTCTTTTCTAAAGTCAGTTTTGATGCTATAATATTTGCTGTTTTTATATTGGATTTTGGATTGGTATTGTCAGTTTAATAAAAATATCAATGTATCAAAAGCCTCTTTGAACTGTAGATAATTGATATTGGATAATAGAGAATGTCAGCTAGTGATGAAGTATTTTTGTAAAGTATTTTTTTTTTAACTTATAAAATTAATTTTAACATATCTAGACTGTATCATATCTTGAATTTTTAAAGAATTTTCTGTATCCCCGTACGTGTGATGCATTGTGCTTGTGTTATATTTAGTACCTGGGCTTCATAGGTCGTCAATAGTACATATATAAAAAAGTTTAAAATATGATATATTATTATGTGCCTTTGTACTTGTGATATCAATGAGCCATTAGTTTATGATGACTCTATTAATGAGTCTTGTACCCATTTTTCATAAAGTGGTTGCATATATTGAGCTACTAACACTTAAAGTTATAGTCATTGATGAAAAAAGTTTCTCATGATTTATGAGTAGTGTCGATAAATATGACTACTACTTGCATCATTGAATTTTATGGGCATTTTTGAAATAAAAACTTTAATTTATGATATTATTAATTAAAACTAATTTAACTACTTTTAATGATCTTGATAAGTTAAATATTTGTTTTTTGTAAGTTAAATTACACTTTTGATTTATCTGTTTTTGTCTATACGAAATTTATGTCCGCTTATCTTATGAGACATTTAGTCTTCTTATTTTGTGAGACATTTAGTCTTCTTGATTTAACAAATACGGGATTTTAATCTTACAATCACTGTTTCCTTGTGTTCTCGAATTGTGGAACTCTATTGGGTGTCTGTCTACTTACTTTTTATCTCACTTTAATAGGTAAGATTTCAAGATATCATTTTGTTGTCATAAAAGAAATATTTAAAAGGGTCATTCAAATCATTTTGTTCATGGAGGGGTCTAGTTAAATTAGCTAAGCAGATGCGTGAGTGCTATAAATTCAAATTCTGAGTATTGAGATTGATTTTTATGAATAAAAAAAGATTAAACTATATTTTTGACCTTTATAATAAATTTGTAATTTTAGTTTTTATTTTTAAATGGTTAAATACCTAATTTGGTACCTTATAATATTTTAAAGTTTCAATTTAGTTCAATTTTAATTTTTGGTTTCAATTTGGTCTCTAATAATTTAAATTATTGTAATGTCGGACCTTCCGTTCAAATTTCTTAAACGGAGTTAACTGTTAGTCACGTAGATGCATAGGTGGATATCAAATTTCATTAATACATCTGGAACTAGAACGGCCCGTATTGAAACTAGAACGGTCCGTTTTGCTGCACTCGTCGTGTGTTAATTTTGCATTTAGAACGGCTCGTTCCAAATGCATTATTTAACACATCACGAGTGCAACTAGAACGGGCCGTTCTGGTTTCAGAACGAGCCGTTCTAGATTCAGAACGGACCGTTCCAAAACGCCAACCACATACGTATATTCAACAAAATGCAATAATGTGGTTTAAAGATTGAAAACAAAAATTCATAATATAACATAAATTCAAGGATTGAAAACAAAAATTCATAACATATACTAAGAAAGTTCAAAGAAATTAGTGAGGAGAAAAATCATCTGGATAACACTAAAGGTGCCAATAATACATCCTATCCACCATATAATTATAGTGTTGTTGGCGTTCATCCATCTCTTGTAATTGATGATTCATACACTAAATGGCTGACAGTGACAAGATATTAGCATTATCTACTGTACATGTGGTTGTGTGGTGAAATGTTAGTCTTGTGTGTCCTCTTCCTCTACTTCAGGTTGTACCTCCTCAAGAACATGTTGTTGTTGGGGTGTATCGGTTAGTGACTCCAAGGGGAAATATCATGTCGTTTCATCCTTGACTATATAGTGTCGATTTGGTAGTAAGTGGTTTACTCCAGTTTGATTAACAATGAAATAAAACATGCCATCATTGTCCTTAGTGATACACTGCATTGCATAACAAGTATTATAATTAATACTTTTAGGAGCTTCTATATCCTGCAATTGGTCTAGAAATGGTCTATAGCCCAAATGTTTAGCAATTGAAGTTATCAAATCCCCCATTGACAATATTACCAAATCCAGTGTTTGAAATGCTTTGTACCTTGAATTTTTTTCCTTGCACGATTCACAACCGTGATTTAGAATCACGGGCGTGAATTATAACCATTGACCGTTTGTGTTTGGAATTTGGAACCAGAACGACCCGTTCTGATCGTGGTGTGTTAATTTTGCATCTGGAACGGCCCGTTCTAGATGCAAAATTAACACATCACTATTGCAAGCAGAACAGGCCGTTCTGGTTTCAGAACAGGTCGTTCTGGTTCTAGATGCATTAAAAAAATTTGGTATCCACCTATGCATCTACGTGGCATCCACGTAGCCAACAGTTAACTCCGTTTAAGAAATTTGGACGGAAGGTCCAACATTGCAGTAATTTAAATTATTAGGGACCAAATTGAAACAAAAAACTAAAGTGGGACTAAATTGAAACTTTAAAATATTATAAAGGACCAAATTAGATATTGAACCTTTTTAAATCTACAATTTAAGTATCAATTTTATAAAATTTTGGTTTAATTTTGTTTTTGATCACTCAAGTATTGCTATTGTGCAATTTTGATCTCAAGGTTTTAATTGGGTAATTTTAGTCCCTAAAGCATTATAATTGTGTGATTTTGGTCCTTCAATTTTTAATTGAACAATTGTAGTTCTTCAAATATCATAATTGTGCGATTTTAGTCTCTCCTATTAAAAATTCAATAATTTTAATATATATATACAATATTTTAAAATTATACAATTATTTGTCTATTCAAGTTAATATATATTATAATTTTCGTTAATGTATCAAATGATATATATTTATTATTACTAAATAAATAAAATTTATATATTATTTTTATAATATTACTGATAAATTAATATCAATAATATTTAAATGAATAAATACGGAAAGTGATATTTTAACTTTGTTTAAAATAAAATAGAAATTATTTGATAATTTTGTTTTTAAGTTTTAAAGTTCATTTCGAGTTGAAACTTTCTTAACAAATTTAAAATTTTAATTTATTTAAAACTAATTAGCTCATTTATTGGAAAAATATATTAAAACAAATAAAAATATTATGTAAAATTAATTTAATTAAAAAAATATCTAAGTGAAACAACTTAAAATACATACATGGCTTAATATGAATATATATATATATATATATATATTAAAATTTTAAAGTTATTAAGTTTTTAATGGTAAATACTAAAATCGTATAATTATGATATTTGACGGACTAAAATTGTTTAATTAAAAATTGAGGGATTAAAATCACACAATTACAAATTTTTATGGACTAAAATTACTCAATTAAAATCTTGGGATTAAAATTGCCTAATTGCAATACTTGAGGGATCATCTAAATTGTAATGATTAAATATCATAATAATTAACAAACTAAATTATATTTTTAATTTTTATTTTTATTTCATAAAAGTGATAAAATAAGATAAAAATAAAAAATAAAAAAATAATTTTATTTAAATATAATTAAGTATATAATCATCTATATGTTAGATAATAATAACTATTATAATTTTAACGATTAACGAGATAAATATTTAATTAGTAACCTAATCTCATCACAAAAAAAAAAAATAATTAGTAGATCAAATAGGGGTCAAAATTGTGTTTTTTAAAAATAAAGTAACCAAAATTATAATTTTGATATTATAAATTGATTTAAAGTGCTATTTAAGAGATAGAAAAGTTTAAATCATTTTGTCTTTTAATAGTTTCACCTGGTATTTTTTGTTGGTCTCCTCTCGACTTCAAACTATTATGATGTGTTTAGATGAGGAATTTTACAAATTCAAGGAATTTTAAATTCTTGATATTTGAATTACTTTGATTTCAATTTCTATCATTCTTAAAATATTTTGTTTAGATGATTCAATTCAAATTTCTTAAAATTTAAATTATTAGGTTAAATATGATAATTTGATTCCACCATAGTAAAATTGATTTTAAAAATATATTTATATGTTGAGATTTTTAAATTAAATTTTATAAAAATAAATATTAATCTATTTTTAAATATTTAATAATTTTAAAAATTAATATAAGATAATATTTAATAATTTTAAAAATATTTTTGAATATCCAATAATTAAAAGAATGAAAAGATAAGATAAAATATATAGATGAAATAAGAAAAACAAATATAAAAAATTTCAAATTTCTCAATGTTTGAGAGAATTTGAAATTATACTATTTTAAAGAATTTCATAAATTCATCCAAATAAAGTATTTCACCTCAAAAAATTTAAAATTATTCAAATAAATAAATTACTCTATATAAATTTTCTATCCAAACATAACATTTGATCTTCTCCTCAGTCCTCATGTATTCAAATCACCTTTGGTGCGATTTTCTGGTATGTCTTCCTCGATCCGATGCATTCACCTGATCTTGTTCCTTCTCCACTCTTCCACTGCAATATTCTTACTGTAGCACTAACATTATGCTCCCTTGGCTCTTTATCCCCCAAAGATGAGAGCATGGTTTTAAATTGTGGTTGCGATCATGTTTATTGTGGTTGTGAGTATTGCGATACAGATTAAGGTCGATGTAATATGAAATTATTAATTATTTTTGTTAAATATAAAAGTTTATAATTATCAATATATATTTTATATTTAAAGATTTATATATTTTAATTTTTTTTTAAAAATATTTTATTATTTTAATAAATAATTTAATTTATTTTAAAATTACAGTATCAATTTGTCGTATTACCGATGTGTTATAGACAAAACACAAAAAGTGTAATTTTCGATTTCACTATAATTGCGATCTGATGATGCTGATGCTGTTGCGGATAAGGTCCCGCAATAGCTGAAGCCGTACGCAATTTAAAACACTGGATGAGAGTCTAACGTGAATGACTTGGAATCTGTCTTAACCTTTTGAAAAAGTGGCTGCATTCACTCTTCTAGTCACCTACCTATGTCATTCCCCCCTTATTAGATGTGTAGAACACCTTTCTAGATTTTTTTTATTCATATTTGATAAATATCGTTTATTTGCAATAACTAATAATTATAAAATTTGATGACATTTTAATAAAAAAATTATTTAATGGATAGCAAGTGTTTTGGTTCGTGGTATGTCTCCAATTTTCTTTTCATTCCATCAAATAGTTTTGCATTAGATGTCCGTGTTTGCCAAAAGCAATATCCAAAATACTTTTAATATATACGTATAGAACAATCTGCTAAGAGTATGTTTGAATCCAAAGAAAATGTCTGGAATTAATTTTATTGTATCTAAAATGATTAGAGTCAAGTCATGCTGGATGCATGTTTGGATATGTTTATTTATTTATTTTTTTTTTCGTCCCTTGAGTATTTACCGCCGATAATAG